AATGTATATAGAAGTCAGGTAATGTAGCCAAATTCCTTACTCCATCCCTAGGGCAGGAGAAAGAACTATAAAATCCTTACTTCCTAAGAAATGGGCTTGTTCATGGAATGGCCATGATTGACTATGACTGAGTCATATCTAAATGAGTTTATGCTCTTTTTTATAGACAAAACATATTTATATTGGCATCAGTTATACCAAATCTGTTTTTGGCTTTGCACTAACTTCCTCAAACAATGCTGTCAATCCTTAAAGATGAACATAAATAGCTGTTATTGTTTGAGGCATGTGCTAAAGATTCTTTCTCTCCCTATTCTACTATAGAAAAATTTTGGATCTAATTTTTCCTTCAATGATCACTTTGCCTTATTTCTGGGGCTTTCAGCAACCCTAACTCCTCTGGTAGTAAATTCTTCCTCTTGGTTTTGCTTCCTTCTGCACTCTGAAAAATCCAGGAGAATGGTGTCTAGGTCTTACAATAAATTGTTCAATTCTTTCTAGTATTTTCCAACTTATTTGGGTCCACAACATACACATAAAATATCCATCAAGTTTTATCTTACCTATGCCTCATTAACCGCTCCTGGTCCTTGACAGATTCAGTGCCCTTCTTTAACAACCAGTTCTGGACTTGGGCAACATCAGAATATTGAGGGATTTGATTGTTTTCTGGTATGTTATGTAGTTGTTTCGCAAGTATTTTCTATTTAAGAATTGTGTATATTACATATATATAATGTTTTTTACATTTCCCAGAAATAGAATCATATAAATTCCTACATTTTATAAATGCTTAATTCTGTTTAATTGCATTTACATCTATTTTGAATCCATTAAAGACATAGACAAGTAAAACAAAATTAAGATTCATCTCTCTAAAAATAAAAGGTAAAATTTCCGTTTATTTGTCAACATATTCTAAGTGAGTTAGATAAAAATATGCAGGAAGTAGAGAAGAAACACTGGGCACTGAAAGAAGTGGGGATAATATAGCATACTTACAAGTATACAGAAGTTCTTCTCATTTTTATTCAGTCCTCTTATTTTTAGAACATACCTTTGCAAACACACATATACACACATCTTTGTCATTTTGATCCAAACCTCTTGACCCTAAAATCTGAACACACACACACACACACACACACACACACCACACACTTTGAGTCAAAAATCAAAAGGAAGTCACTTTCCATAACAGCTCACTACACCCAATCATTCCACTTCACATTTAAGAACAACATTTTTACTGGATGAATACAGGTGCACCTGTATGAGTTCAAACACAGAATGTACATGTTCTTGAATCACCAAAGAACATTACAGATATTTATTGTTATTTTCCTATGGCTCAAACTGTTTTAGGTTTCACTTAGGAATCTTTCTGCCACAAGAGATGTTTCTTATTGGCCTTAACTCAGGGGGAAACAACACATCTGACTAGTGATTTAATTACTAAATTATGCCAGCTACTACTAATGTGTTGATGGATGACCCTTTCCCTTTTCCATTCTTGGCTAAACATAGCAGCATCCAAATAATGTTTATTCCTACTCTAAATTTTCAATTGAAAAAATATGCAATTACTTTTTTAATAATTAAGGGTCAAATATGATTAAAAAAACACTCTACATATAAGTAAGGATTTCTTCCAAACTCTATGTAAACAAACCAAATTTAAGTGTTTAACTCACTTGTTCTCTTCTATAGTTTCTTTCAAAGTCTAATTTTAAACTGGTAAGGTATTGCCTATACTCATTCAATTCTCTCAAAGTACATACAACCTACAAACAAACGCACATCAATATTTAAAAAAATATTAAACATATTAACATTATATAAATATTTTAAATATATATTTTAAAATTATTTTAATGATTTAAAAATCACTTTCCAAAAAAAATAGGAGTGACCTACAATTTAATGACATTTTGGCATAAAGAGTAATAAACTGCTAAAAATGTTGTAGAGTAGTATCTTTCTGCATTTGTTAATCAGCAAGAAATTTCTATCCAAAAATATAACTTAGGCTGAGGCAAGAGAATTTCTTGAGGCCAGGAGTTTGAGATAGGCCTGGACAACATAGCAAGACCCCATCTCTTAAAAAAAAAATCAGCTGGGAGGGTATGTGCCTGTGCCAGCTGCTTAGGAGGCTGAGGCAGGAACACAGCTTGAGCCCAGGAGGTCAAAGCTGCCATGAGCCATGATTATGCCATTGCACTCCTGTGTAGGTAACAACGTGAGAACCTGTCTCTAAAAACCTGTCTTTAAAGTATACATATCACTTTATTAATATGACTAATATCATAAAAGAAGTTTAGTCAACACATTGAGTTATCACAGTAATAATTGAAATTAGCTGTAATTGGATTATAATTTTGCATGTAATAACATTGTAAGACTCCAATTAGAAAGTACTCTATCAAGGTTCTAAGAGACTGAAATTTGTAGGTTTCTATTTCATCTCAAGTTTTAAAAGTATGTGTAACAGAATACTTGACAATTATATGTTGTATAATTATATAATTACATACACTATATAATGCCATTAAAGACAAAGAAGGCTATAATACACATGGGAAAATTAATATGTCTTTGCATTCTCAAATTATTTGTCAATAATTTTTCAAGGTGAAGGAAGAGTAGTTTTATTTAGCAACAACTGTTGTCTGATTTCTCTTGATCCACATACTGAGAAATTTATAGAACTGCCTATTAAGTATTGTCTCATGACCAGGTTCAAAGTGACACAGGCCCCCCCCCCCCCCGCCGACTGAGGTATAGAAACAAGTTTATATCAAGTTTTAAAGGGTTTCATTGATTAAAAAAAGAAGTAATCTTCAACCCATTTTATTATTGCTGGTGACATAGCCACCTTTCTTTAATCTCTTCAGAATATCTTTGCGCTAATAGTATGCTTTTAAATGTGGATCATGGAGGCTGTTATATTGGTTTTCCAAAAGTCGACAGTAAGGATCAGTCAGGTTAAAACCATAAGAAGGTCGAAAAAGCTGCAAACACAAAGTCAAAAATATGTAAAATTAATGCATTTTTACTTAAAAAAATCTATCACAATAATTAGAATGTTCATTGAAAATAATGTGGAACAAAAATCTGAAGTGGAGAAAAATAGCTACAGAAAAATTGAGATTGGGTGTGCTTTCCTGCCTTTCCCTTCCTCTTTCCTCACCTGCATAAGTTATCCCAAAGACTCACCTTCCCTCAATCAGTTTCTCCTCTAATCATCTCCAGACCCTGGCTCTCAGTCAAATAAGAAAAAAGAAGAGGAAAAGAAAGGGAATAGATTATAGTTTGTATTAAGATATAAAGCCAATGCTAGGATTCTTTCTTTTCCTCCTCCCTCTCTCAAATCAGAACATTATATTCAAAAGATAAAGGGATAATAGTAATTATAATTTGATTTCAATCATCTTAAAATGAACAAAAATAACAGAAAATGTTCATCAAAAGTTACAAAAATAACTTTAACAAATCATAGAAGTAAAAGTTGGATATTAAAGGTTTTGAGTTAAAGAGTCATTGCATCTTGGGGTTTTTAATGCATGAAATGAACAGTCTCTGAGTGCTAGAATAAGACAAATACCTGAGGTCTATATTATGCAGTTCAACATATTGAAGAACTAATTTTAAAACTGAAGTTTATTCATTTGTGTGAAGACCAAATACACCTTTAGGCAATAGCCATTGAAATATATAAGGAGGAAAAGATAATCAGTTATTAGTTATGTTTCTATATCTGCTGCATTAGAGAAAGAAGCTGAGTTATTCAATCTCACCACAAATTAAAACATTAGCAAAGTGAGTTCTTTTGGTGTGAGTTCTCAGTTTTTCAATAGCAGGATGCTGATAATGGCTTATTGGGGGACTTCTGAAATGGAAAACGTAGAGAATGAGAGTAGGAAGCTGTGCTAATGTTGTTTTTTACATCCTTTCTTTCTGTTTTAAGTTTGCTGGGCCAGAACAACATATGTTTTATAATAGTTCAAAATAATGTCAAATCAGGAAATGACTCAGGGGACAGATAATTGGAGTATATTGGTAATATGGCAAACCAGAGAGCATCTGCCTTTGCAGGTGCAAAGTTCAATTTATACTACCACAGCAACACTAAGCACCAATCCAGACATGTATAGAGGCACCAATCTGTGACCTGTGTTTTCAGTTCGGCTGTAGCCACAATTGCAGTCCAGATCCTAAACACTATGGAGCCTGGCTAGGTTGGACCCTTAAAAGAACTCCAGAAAGATAGGTAGGAGGATGCTTTGTATACGGGTAAAAGGTAGATGAGAGGAATATTAATAGTATACTAGCTCTTCCTTTGCATTTAAAAGCTTCTTTAAGTTTTTGACCTCTTGTGTAACACTAAATTTTAATTCCTGCCAAGGAGCCTAACCAGAAAGCTAGATTCCCTGATTACCAATGCTTTCCTGAGAAGGTAAAGAAAGGACTCCCATAGGAGAAAGCCTTGAATTCAGTGAGTTCACAAATGAAGCCCAGATCTTTTCTGGAAGGGAAATAATCAATAACAGTAAGTCATGGAGTGTACTGAATATTTATTTCAGATATTGACATTTAGCTGTAAACTTTTTAAAAATGTTAACTTTTAGCTGTGACAGGCATATGTGTCTCAATACCAAACCTGAAGTGCTACTGACCTGTAAACTAAGAACACCTTTAAACAGATCCACCCATCTGAGCCAGAGTAACCTTTCTATTGCCAATTAATATATCTGGTTTCCCTTAAAATGTAAATGTAAAGCGTGACTTCATGAAGAAGGGTACTCTGAAAGAGAAAACTCGTCAGAAAAACTAGTATGGTGCCTAATTATCACGAAACAAATTTGGGGATAAATAATGTAATAAAAATAGAACATCTTTTTGAAAAGTAGTAGACAAGTGACTTAATGGTAGACAGAGAAGATGGCAATAGAGTCAAAAGAATATATTTGAGGGAGGAGACCAAAGACGGAGTGTCCCCGAGTTCACCTTCCGTTCTCCCCACAGGCGTGCAGAGTCCGCCATGGAAGCACATCCGGCTGCCGCCAAGGTCTCCGGGAGCCGCGGCCTCTGCTTCCCAGGGCGATGAAAGACTAGAGGCGCCTGGCGTCCCGCCTGCCTCAGGCGCTCTGGCTAGCCAGGCGGTAAGGGGATCGGGCAGGCTGGCGGGCGGTCCCGCGGTGCCCACCTTTGCGCCGCCCCGCCCCCTGGGGGCTCTGCCGAGAGGGCGCCAGCCGCCCATGCTGCCCCGGCGCCCAGCCGCGCCCGGTGCCCGCCACTGAAGCTCAGGACGCACCGCCGCCCGCGCCCACCGCCGTCCGCGCCCGTCGACTTGAGCCGACCATCCTCCTGCCCCCAAGATGTGGCACAGCGTCGGGCTGACCCTGCTTGTGTTCGTGGCCACGCTGCTGATCGTCCTGCTGCTGATGGTGTGCGGTTGGTATTTTGTATGGCATCTTTTTTTTAATCAAAATTCAAGTTTCTCTGGGAACTGGTGGGAGACACGGGATCCGAAGAGGGAGATCATGAACCTTCAGGGTCTGAAACTGAAGAAGACACTTCCTCCTCTCCATACAGAATCAGATCTACTCGCCAAAGGAGGGCACCTGCTGATGAAGGCCACTCACCCCACACATAGTTCTGTACTCCTGAAGGATGAAAGGCAGTTGCCAGCTTCTGTCTCTTAGTGACTTGGCGTTGAAATTTACTAATGACTGAAGACATTTGTATTGGATTTTAAGTATGCCATATAAAATGTAAGCCATATAAAAATAAAGGGAATTAAAACCAAATTGGACTATTATAAATTTCATCTTAAGGATAATCTTTTGTTTCACTAGCTTTCTACTTAGACACTTATTCCTTGGCTTTTGGGCTTATTTTCTCACACTGGTGCAGATCTGGTAAACATCAAAGGCTTGAAAAACCATATTTTATTAGCCCTAAAATGTTCATTTTTCTCCCCAGTTTAACTTGTCAGAAATTGGGATGCTTCTCATTACTGTCAACCAGGTGATAGTCATGTAATTCTCCTACCTTGTACATGTGCAAATTTACAGCTTGTCAACGTGTAATCCCTTTAACCAACATGTGTATTGTTGGAATCAAATGTGTCAGATTTAATAGACATTTTAAAATATCTTCAAAAAGATTACCCTATGATTCAGCAATGAAAAGTTATTGTGTATGCAGAAAAGCATGGAAACAGAGCAGCGGGGCGTACATTTGATATCAGTGACGCAAATATTCATCACTGGAGAAATGATCGAAATTCCATATCTTCCTGCAAAGCAACAACAAAATGTTTTACAGGACCTAAGAAAGGTAGATACCCACAAGTAGACGAAGCTGTACTACATTTTATTAGTGAGACACATGCAAAAGGATTGCCTATCACAAACCAAGCAATGCAATTGAAGGCAGGAGAAATTGGCAAAACCCTGGGAACTGATGAAACAAAATTCAGAGCGACGAGAGGTTTGTGTGACCGATTCATGCATCCAGCAGGACGGTCGTTTAGGCATCCAACATCGTTTTGCCCCAAGCTCCCTGCTGCTATTAAACAGAAGACAGTGTTGGAGCACTCTTTCAAGAAGTGCTGTATAACCAGTACTCTTCACAAGCCTCAGGTGACGTTATGGGAAAAAATGGAGACTTCAATGACTGTGGTTTGAAAAGTGATTCAGAAGAGTTGGATTCAGAATATGAAGTTATAATTATTACTTAACCAATTTGTTTCACACATTTTTTTTACATATGTGCAAGATCGATACGATAAAAATCTGTTTAACTCAAAGTGCTGTTTCTTTTTTTTTTTTTTTTTCCTGATTCAATAAGTATTTTTTTTTTAATTTTTTATTGGATTATAGGTTTTGGGGTACATGAGCAGAGCATGCAAGACAGTTGCGTAGGTACACACATGGCAGTGTGCTTTGCTTTTCTTCTCCCCTTCACCCACATTTGGCATTTCTCCCCAGGCTATCCCTCCCCACCTCCCCCTCCCACTGGTCCTCCCCTTTTCCCCCCAATAGACCCCACTGTTTAGTACTCCCCTTTCTGTGTCCATGTGTTCTCATTTTTCATCACCCACCTATGAGTGAGAATATGCGGTGTTTCATTTTCTGTTCTTGTGTCAGTTTGCTGAGGATGATGTTCTCCAGATTCATCCATGTCCCTACAAACGACACGAACTCATCATTTCTGATTGCTGCATAATATTCCATGGTGTATATGTGCCACATTTTTCCAATCCAGTCTATTATCAATGGGCATTTGGGTTGATTCCAGGTCTTTGCTATTGTAAACAGTGCTGCAATGAACATTCGTGTACATGTGTCCTTATAGTAGAACGATTTATAGTCTTTTGGATATATACCCAGTAATGGGATTGCTGGGTCAAATGGAATTTCTATTTCTAAGGCCTTGAGGAATCGCCACACTGTCTTCCACAATGGTTGAACTAATTTACACTCCCACCAACAGTGTAAAAGTGTTCCTTTTTCTCCACATCCTCTCCAGCATCTGTTGTCTCCAGATTTTTTAATGATCGCCATTCTAACTGGCGTGAGATGGTATCTCAATGTGGTTTTGATTTGCATCTCTCTGATGACCAGTGACGATGAGCATTTTTTCATATGATTGTTGGCCTCATATATGTCTTCTTTCGTAAAGTATCTGTTCATATCCTTTGCCCACTTTTGAATGGGCTTGTTTGTTTTTTTCCTGTAAATCTGTTTGAGTTCTTTGTAAATTCTGGATATCAGCCCTTTGTCAGATGGGTAGACTGCGAAAATTTTTTCCCATTCTGTTGGTTGCCGATCCACTCTAGTGACTGTTTCTTTTGCCGTGCAGAAGCTGTGGAGTTTGATTAGGTCCCATTTGTCTACTTTGGCTTTTGTTGCCAATGCTTTTGGTGTTTTGTTCATGAAGTCCTTGCCTACTCCTATGTCCTGGATAGTTTTGCCTAGATTTCCTTCTAGGGTTTTTATGGTGCCAGGTCTTATGTTTAAGTCTTTAATCCATCTGGAGTTAATTTTAGTGTAAGGTGTCAGGAAGGGGTCCAGTTTCTGCTTTCTGCACATGGCTAGCCAGTTTTCCCAACACCATTTGTTAAACATGGAATCCTTTCCCCATTGCTTGTTTTTGTCAGGTTTATCAAAGATTGTATAGTTGTATGTATGTTGTGTTGCCTCCGGTGCCTCTGTTTTGTTCCATTGGTCTATATCTCTGTTTTGGTACCAGTACCATGCTGTTTTGATTACTGTAGCCTTGTACTATAGTTTGAAATCCGGTAGTGTGATGCCCCCCGCTGTGTTCTTTTTGCTTAGAATTGACTTGGCTATGCGGGCTCTCTTTTGGTTTCATATGAAGTTCATGGTGGTTTTTTCCAGTTCTGTGAAGAAAGTCAATGGTAGCTTGATGGGGATAGCGTTGATTCTGTAAATTACTTTGGGCAGTATAGCCATTTTCACGATATTAATTCTTCCTAACGATGAACATGGAATGTTTCTCCATCTGTTTGTGTCCTCTCTGATTTCATTGAGCAATGGTTTGTAGTTCTCCTTGAAGAGGTCCCTTACGTTCCTTATGAGTTGTATTCCAAGGTATTTTATTCTTTTTGTAGCAATTGCGAATGGCAGTTCGCTCTTGATTTGGCTTTCTTTAAGTCTGTTATTGGTGTAGACGAATGCTTGTGATTTTTGCACATTGATTTTATATCCTGAGACTTTGCTGAAGTTGTTTATCAGTTTCAGGAGTTTTTGGGCTGAGGCAATGGGGTCTTCTAGGTATACTATCATGTCGTCTGCAAATAGAGACAATTTGGCTTCCACCTTTCCTATTTGAATACCCTTTATTTCTTTTTCTTGCCTGATTGCTCTGGCTAGAACTTCCAGTACTATATTGAATAGGAGTGGTGAGAGAGGGCATCCTTGTCTAGTGCCAGATTTCAAAGGGAATGCTTCCAGTTTTTGCCCATTCAGTATGATATTGGCTGTTGGTTTGTCATAAATAGCTTTTGTTACTTTGAGATACATTCCATCGACACCCAGTTTATTGAGGGTTTTTAGCATAAAAGCCTGTTGAATTTTGTCAAATGCCTTCTCTGCGTCAATTGAGATAATCATGTGGTTTTTGTTTTTGGTTCTGTTTATGTGGTGAATTACGTTGATAGACTTGCGTATGTTGAACCAGCCTTGCATCCCCGGGATTAATCCTACTTGATCATGATGAATAAGTTTTTTGATTTGCTGTTGCAATCAGCTTGCCAATATTTTATTGAAGATTTTTGCATCTATGTTCATCATGGATATTGGCCTGAAGTTTTCTTTTCTCGTTGGGTCTCTGCCAGGTTTTGGTATCAGGATGATGTTGGTCTCATAAAATGATTTGGGAAGGATTCCCTCTTTCTGGATTGTTTGAAATAGTTTTAGAAGGAATGGTACCAGCTCCTCCTTGTGTGTCTGGTAGAATTCAGCTGTGAACCCGTCTGGACCTGGGCTTTTTTTGTGAGGTAGGCTCTTAATTGCTGCCTCGACTTCAGACCTTGTTATTGGTCTATTCATAGTTTCAGCTTCCTCCTGGTTTAGGCTTGGGAGGACACAGGAGTCCAGGAATTTATCCATTTCTTCCAGGTTTACTAGTTTATGCGCATATAGTTGTTTGTAATATTCTCTGATGATGGTTTGAATTTCTGTGGAATCTGTGGTGATTTCCCCTTTATCATTTTTTATTGCATCTGTTTGGTTGTTCTCTCTTTTCTTTTTAATCAATCTGGCTAGTGGTCTGTCTATTTTGTTGATCTTTTCAAAAAACCAGCTCTTGGATTTATTGATTTTTTGAAGGGTTTTTCGTGTCTCAATCTCCTTCAGCTCAGCTCTGATCTTAGTAATTTCTTGTCTTCTGCTGGGTTTTGAGTTTTTTTGATCTTGCTCCTCTAGCTCTTTCAATTTTGACGATAGGGTGTCAATTTTGGATCTCTCCATTCTCCTCATATGGGCACTTATTGCTATATACTTTCCTCTAGAGATTGCTTTAAATGTGTCCCAGAGGTTCTGGCACGTTGTGTCTTCGTTCTCATTGGTTTTGAAGAACTTCTTTATTTCTGCCTTCATTTCGTTGTTTACCCAGTCAACATTCAAGAGCCAGTTGTTCAGTTTCCATGAAGCTGTGCAGTTCTGGGTCGGTTTCTGAATTCTGAGTTCTAACTTGATTGCACTATGGTCTGAGAGGCTGTTTGTTATGATTTCAGTTGTTTTGCATTTGTTGAGCAGTGCTTTACTTCCAATTATGTGGTCAATTTTAGAGTAGGTTTGATGTGGTGCTGAGAAGAATGTGTATTCTGTGGATTTGGGGTGGAGAGTTCTGTAAATGTCCACCAGGTTTGCTTGCTCCAGGTCTGAGTTCAAGCCCTGGATATCCTTGTTGATTTTCTGTCTGGTTGATCTGTCTAGTATTGACAGTGGAGTGTTAAAGTCTCCCACTATTATTGTGTGGGAGTCTAAGTCCTTTTGTAAGTCATTAAGAACTTGCCTTATGTATCTGGGTGCTCCTGTGTTGGGTCCATATATGTTTAGGATCGTTAGCTCTTCTTGTTGTATCGATCCTTTTACCATTATGTAATCTCCTTCTTTGTCTCTTTTGATCTTTGTTGCTTTAAAGTCTATTTTATCAGAGATGAGAATTGCAACTCCTGCTTTTTTTTGCTTTCCATTAGCTTGGTAAATCTTCCTCCATCCCTTTATTTTGAGCCTTTGTGTATCCTTGCATGTGAGATGGGTTTCCTGGATACAGCACACTGATGGGTTTTGGATTTTTATCCAATTTGCCAGTCTGTGTCTTTTGATTGGTGCATTTAGTCCATTTCCATTTAGGGTTAATATTGTTATGTGTGAATTTGATACTGCCATTTTGATGCTAAGTGGCTGTTTTGCCTGTTAGTTTTTGTAGATTCTTCATTATGTTGAAGCTCTTTAGCATTCAGTGTGATTTTGGAATGGCTGGTACTGGTTGATCCTTTCTATGTGTAGTGCCTCTTTTAGGAGCTCTTGTAAAGCAGGCCTGGTGGTGACAAAATCTCTGAGTACTTGCTTGTTCGCAAAGGATTTTATTCTTCCTTCACTTCTGAAGCTCAGTTTGGCTGGATATGAAATTCTGGGTTGAAAGTTCTTTTCTTTAAGAATGTTGAATATTGGCCCCCACTCTCTTCTGGCTTGTAGTGTTTCTGCCGAGAGATCTGCTGTGAGTCTGATGGGATTCCCTTTGTGGGTGACACGACCTTTCTCTCTGGCTGCCCTTAGTATTCTCTCCTTTATTTCAACCCTGTTGAATCTGACAATTATGTGCCTTGGGGTTGCTCTTCTTGCCGAATATCTTTGTGGAGTTCTCTGTATTTCCTGCAATTGAGTGTTTGGCTTGTCTTGCTAGGTGGGGGAAATTTTCCTGGATGATGTCCTGAAGAGTATTTTCCAGCTTGGATTCATTCTCTTCGTCCCCTTCTGGTACACCTATCAAACGTAGGTTAGGTCTTTTCACATAGTCCCACATTTCTTGGAGACTTTGTTCATTCCTTTTTGCACTTTTTTCTCTGATCTTGGTTTCTCGTTTTATTTCATTGAGTTCGTCTTCTACTTCAGATATTCTTTCTTCTGCTTGGTCAATTCGGCTATTGAAACTTGTGTTTGCTTCGCCAAGTTCTCGTATTGTGTTTTTCAGCTCCTTTAATTCATTCATATTCCTCTCTAAGGTATCCATTCTTGTTATCATTTCCTCGAATCTTTTTTCAAATCTTTTTTCAAG